TACTTAACCTTAGGCGCCAAAATTTGAATTCAAATATTCAAATTTTGGTGCCAACCGGTCACCTCCCCCATGTGCACGTGCACTCATTTGGATGTAATTTGGTATCCATTTGAGTAACATTTCGGTCACACCATGTGCATGTGTGCACATGGCCGAAATGCCTACTAAATGCCATACTAATTACATGCAAATGAACATGCACATGCTAACCTAAATTAACCCTAAATTCACATTGCCATGAAATTAAAATCCTAATCTAGGTGGCCGAAATACAAGGCCCAAAATGCAATATAAGCCCAAAGGCCCAAACCTACACTACTCCTATTCTACTTGGGCTTGAGTCAAAACCCAACTGAAAAGTATGATGAGCTTCTCTTGAGCATGGGCCCATTCTTCATGTATCTTCTTGGCCATAGTCCTAGTAGTTGGGCCCTTAGCCCATGGGCCTCCTCCATCAGATTCATTTTTTCAAATACTTAAAAAAATCAAGAAGGGTTATATTGCAATATATTGAGTATTATTTTCACACACTATAGTGCATTTGATAAAAACTTTAGAAGAGACTAGATTGATGTAACTTTTTCTTCAAACCTCTTGGACAAATCTTTCACTTTTTGAAAATCCTCAAGTAGATTAAGAAAAAAAATCAAGAGAAACTATATTACAAATCTATTAATTTAGTTAAATTTTGATAATATATCAATTTAGTTAATGTTGAAAAATATATTTACTTTGAGGAAAAATGTTTTTTTAATTTATTTTTTAAAAAAATTCATTGAATATCGAAACAAATCGATCTAATATTGGATTAGTTTGGTTTAGGTTAAGAAAAAAAATTATAAAATCCAAATCAATCCAAATCAATTAAATTTAATTGATTTGGATTGAATTTTCCCCCAAACTCAAACCAACTGACCTGTGAGCCCTTGCTTTTTTAAAATTACAAGAATTAAAAATATTAATTTTAAATTTAAGAGATTAAAAATAAATTTACTCCAATTTAAAAAAATAAAACATATTTAAATATTTATTTAATATGTATGTTTTCAATTGGACAATTCAAGCACCATTATTTTCACATATAATCATGGATGATATTTTTTCTCAAGAATAAAAGCATAAATTTCTCAACATTTTGAATCATACATCTCAACCAAACACATTATTAACTTGCCTCATATAATAGTAAAAATCTAGGCATGATTAGATGGTGCTAAAATTTTACATTAGTAATGTGTAGTGTGTAGTGTAACTTAGTTTTTTTAAGAAGTAAAAATAGAATAGTGAAAGAGAGAAACTATGGTGTTTAGTGTGTCATAAGTTATTTTTTATTCATAAGAAGGATTACAAATACGGTAATAGAAATTAAACTCAAGTCTTCACATTTTTATTTCAATATCTTCTCTCAACCATTATATTAATTGGCTTTTTGGCTAGAATAAACAAAAAAAAAGATAAAGATTTTCAAAAACTAAATTATTTTTAAAATTATTTATCAAAATAAATTATTTTGACCACTGTGGCAAGGTTGAGAGAGGTGTCAATAACCCCTTGAGACATTTTTACTAGGTGACAAAAATAATGAAGAAGTTATCATAAGGTGAAATATTTTTAAGTGTCATCAGATGTACTAATGCTTTCAAGTGCAACCGTAGGTTCTAACGACATCCTTGCAGACTAGACAAAGGTGTGTCAATTGCTTTTTGACCGAAGTGACAAGTAGAAACCGTTACTATCATTGATGATTTTTGTGCATGTTTGATACATGTTTGAGTAGTCTTCTCCAAGCAAGCATGGACATTAAAAAAGTTTGAATGAAATGAGGCTTTGCTTGTGGGAAGGGAGAGTGGGTGATTGATTTTTGAATGTTGGAAGGGAGGTTCACTTATAAATAAGTAGAGTGAAGGGAGAGTGAGTAATTTTTTCTAGAAGAGTGAAGGAATGAAAGAGAGATCTACAAAGAGTGAAGAGATTTTCAGGGAAGAGTGAGTATTTTATATTTTGATTTTACTGGTTAGGATTTTCTATTTAATGAATAACATAACATAATAGGTTCGTATTGAATATCATGTTTGTTGCTTGGTCAATATCTACAAAAAATTGTTAGGTTGGCAAAGGTTATTCAGTGTTGATTTTTCATTGCAGCTTGGACTGTACCAATGGTCCAAGAATTAGAGGGGCTAGAGTTAGAACCAAAGATATACTCTTGAAGAAATGGTTGTTGTTGGTCAAATGATTATGGTTCATTACACAAATGTTGATGTTGGTTATTGTCATCCCCAAGCTTTAGAGTTGGGAGTGACAAGGAGATTGTACAAATTATTTTTCTTTATTTTTAGATGTCACTAATACCCTTCGGTATATGACACACATGCGATCTTCGAACATTTTCTTGTTCATCATCACTATCGTGTACATAATCAACTCCTATGTGTGACATTCTTGCAAATTAATATACTAATACTTATAATCATAAAAAAAAATATCATGTAAACTATAAATATAAAGGAACATTTGTACAAAAAAAAACACACAAATAGTAAATCTACATAAAACTTAAAATCATTTCACCTAAAAGCTTACACAAAGACTGTAAATACTTCAACAAAAATTTCTACAATTTTTTTTAAAAATAATTTCATACTCAATAACCATAACCAAAATAACAAATAGTTTATTAAAAAAGTTTAAAAATATATTAAGAAAAAAGAAGAAATTTAAGATACAAACTGGAGATGGAAAAAATGAAGAAAATGAGCAAAACTCTTATAAAAAGAGATGATGAAGTAATGAGAAAAATTCGGTGGCTAATCTTGAGAAGTTGTGGTTGGTCTTGAGAAGAAACATCGTGACCTCTTATGAATAGCTAGTCTTAAGCACCACTAAATAGAAGTCGTCACTAAACATTATGCGTTCAAAAGTCGTCATTACCTGTGACGACATCAATAACCATCAGTACCCACGACATTTTCAAAAAACATCAATACCTGTAATAACACCTGAAGACATTGATACGTATGATATTTGTACCTGTGATAATACTTGAAAACATTTCACCTTGTGACAAATTCTTCATTAATTTTATATCCTAATGAATATGTTTGAGGTGGTTACAACACCTCTCTCAATCACACCGAGATAGTCAAAATAATTTTTAAAATTTTTATTTTTAAAACTAGTTATTTTTTTTTATTCTGGCCAAAAAGCCATATTAATCCTAGTGGTTGTTTCATGACTTTTATTAGGAGGGCTGATCACTCTTTAAATTTTTATGTGGTCAATAAACAATCACATCCAAGTGTAATTGTGTGGTGAATAAAAGTTATATTTAGTAATTTGTAAAAATGTGAAAAGCTTAATGTTTATTCAATATGACACAAAAGTTGTGCCCGATAATTAAGCCTTGTTGGCTGTCCCATGCTCAATAAAATACAATGAAGAAAGTTAAAAAAAAAAAATGGTATAATTATCCTAACATTAATTATATAACTAATTAAAATAAGCAGAAATTAATTGATAGCTGTAACTGACTTTTCTTGGCCGGAAATTTCAGAATACACTTTTTCAACCCTTAATTAATACCACAATTAATATTTTTAACAATACAATTTATTTTACAATATTATTAATAAATTTTAGTCAAAAAGGTAATAATTTATCAAATTTGCAAACAAGACTAAAAAGTAAAAAAATTCTTTTACAGTAATTTGCAAATTATGCCCAATGTTTATAGAAGAAATCTGAGTGTTGTTTTAAAAATTATGAAAAATGTAAAGCTCGTATTTGATTGAATAATCAATCAAAAAATATCAATTCCATTTGGCATAGAAGCTCATAAGAAATGTGGTAAAATAAAATTATGTGAATTTGTAAGAAGAAAAATAAATAAAAGACACCCCACCTCAAAGGTATAAAGATATGTTAAAATATCATGTTATGAGGTTTTTATTTCCTTTATTATTATTCTCTTAATTTAAATGAGTCATCAATCATAGGGGATGTTTGACATCTGGAATGTTATTACATTCCTGAAAATCTTGAAGTGGAAATTTTAACTTCCTATGTTTGATGACTATTATTTTAAAAAAAGAGATTCTAAGAAATGTAATTTTAAAAAAATTATTTTTATCTCACTTTCCTAAAAAAAAATAAAAATATTCCCATAAGTATATGATCAATTGACAGGACATTATTCTAATTTTTAGTCAATAATTTTTTAACTTAATTTTTGAGTATGTAATTACATTAAATACTTAGAAAGAGAATTGTGTCACTTATAATAATTCTATTTGGCTGTGCGAGATTATCTCATATGAAAGATAATTGTGATCTATACAAAATAAATAAACCAAAAATCATAATAGACCGAATTAAATTATAGCATTTTTTGTGTGGAAGATATCAATGCTATATGATAAAAAAAAAATGCTCAATTTTGATATAATTCAACTATATTAAGTAGTAATAGTTGGATAAGATAAAGTGGCAATAGATATTTTTATCTATAGAAGAGGATATAATATTATCATGTTTTATGTCATGTTACAAGATTTCCATATAAGAAAGTAAGAAACTTGGCGCACCATGGTTAAGTTTGAATGTTTGGATATGATAGTTAAACTAACACAATACCTGTGGTTGTAAAATCCACTTTGGTGATTTGCACAAATTTTATTTTGTTGTGTAATGCTGACTAAAATATAACAGTATCTTAATTCTCTTCTTGCTTCCATGTTGAGAGTCACATATTAGCTCAATATAATCTCCTTGACTTATATGATAGCCAAGTTTGGTCATTACGATATATAGTCTCCAAATTTCAAGTGAAACACAATTTTCAGGCTAAGTGGAAAATCTCAGCATAACCTTAATCACAACTCATTGATAATAAATCAATGTTAAGAGAATTCTCTATTAGGTGAACTAAAGAAAACCACATTATTTCAAGGTCATTTTGAAGGATTAGGACCAAATGATGACACCACATTTGCACAAAATATCAATTGAAAGACTAAATTAAGTAGAAACTGGATTGAGACTTCTGACAAAGCACAAGGCATTATATGTTTGCATCCACCAGTTATATTTAGAACTGGCGATTGAGTTATCATTGAATTGTATCTTTGTCTACTTATAACCAACACAAGTTCACTTTCATTCTTTGGTTTTTCCTTTTCTTTATCAGAAAGTTAAGCATAAAACATATAGAAATCATATTAAAAATGAATGCTAATGAATTGGAAAACTTTCATTTACTTACAAAAGAAGATATCAATGATACCTGTGCACTAAAATACCTGATAATGATAATCTTCACTTGACCAGGAAGAATGAAAGGTCTAGCATTGCCATTTGCCAAGCTTTCTTCTCACTTTAAGTGAAAAAATAAAACAACAAAGTTCTTTCTCCTACAAATCCTGGCAAAGACAATCTCGGCACCTACCGAAGCAAAGCAATAGTTCACTTATGACTCAAATTTGTATGATATACTATCATGACAATTCACTAAAGCACCAAAGGATAGATAAGGAACAGAAAGTAAAATCCATCCTCATGATCTTTTCAGACGCTGTGCTACCCAAACAGCAAGTGAAAAATTGCAAATATTTTCTGCAATGCCTGGCTTCTCTGAATGACTAGTTATGCTAGTTGAGCTATCTTTATTCTCAACGCAACTATTGTCTAGATCTTGGCTATTATGCGGCAAAGCCAACTTTCTATAGAACTGTAAAACCCTACAGTCTGCTAGAATCAACGAGCGCTTAAAACCAGATAGATGAAGATTATCCAAGCACTTAACACGAGAAAGTGCAGTATAAACTATTCCACAGCCAAATGCTTGTGACAAGTTAATCGTAGCTTTGTCTAGGGTCATTCCCTGGCACTTGTGGATGCTCAGAGCCCATGCTGGAATAAGTGGTATCTGCATCCTGCTAGCAACAATTTCATCTCCATCCTTTACATGCCACACTACTGGTTTAATGATCGAAACTTTTCCTGAATCAAATTCAACTATTGGAAGCCGTTTATCAGAGCACATGTCAGCAACATCCACTGCCTCAACAAACCCTACAACCGTACCTGTTGCTCCATTCACCAACCCTTTCCAGGTATGCAAATTCTTGACCAACATAACTCTTGCACCTTCGCAAATGGTGACTGTATCAGGTGCTATCCCATGCTGAAACTGCTTCTTCCAATGATCCTTCCTACGATCGTCACCACTATCAATAGCTCTATAAACAACAACATCCTTTTTCAAGGCTTTAAGCTTCTTCTCATTCACCCTCTTCACAGCTTTATTCAGTGAGAAAAGCTGCACCGCTGAGGGATCACACTCGGTCTTGGAGCAATACTCCTCCAGGTAGGCCAAGTCGGGGTGATTACTCTCCCCTCTCCTTATGGCCTGAAGCAACTCTATAAACCGTGAATCTGATTGCCTGAAGATTTTAGTAAGCTCTATCTGCAAATCAAAACTATTGTTCCAACAAGCAGCTTCGAAAGCATAACTCACATGCTTCGAATTCTTATCTACAGGGGGCAACTGGCAGAAATCCCCAACCACAACCAGCTGAATTCCTCCCCATGTCTCATCCACACCCTTAAACTTTCTGGCAACAAACTCTAGGCCATCAAACAGCTTTGGATCCACCATGCTAATTTCATCTATGACCAAAGCCTCAGCCTTTTCCCACCTTCTGATTGCCCTCCCTTTGCCCATAATCATATCCAACAACTTTGCAGGGCCACAGTTGGTGGTGTCATGGATCCCAATAAATGAGTGTAAAGTTTGGCCCTTTATGGCAAATGCTGAAACCCCAGTTGACGATGTGACAAAAACCTTAGATCGGGTGTGCAATTTCTTAAGCAACTTCACAACCTCCATGAGCAATTTGGTTTTTCCAGTCCCAGCTGAACCTGTGATGAACACACTACTCCCCTGTGTCACAGCAGACAACACACTCTTCTGCTCCTCTGTCCATTGAATCTTATTCTTACGTTGTTTTCTCTCGGTGGTTGTCTTGTCTTTGTTCTTGTACTTAGTGTAAGACCCATACGAGGGTTTTGAAGAATAACCCTTTGAACCCAAGTTCCTATATGCAGCAACAGCTATTCCTAGGGTGAAAAATCTCATCTTTTTTTAATTCCTCACATACCCATCTGGGTAATTGCACAAATTTGATGCAGAAAAAAGATGGGTGTGAAACAGAAGTGAGTTTCTTTCACATTTAAGGCTTTACACTCACTGAAAGTAGAGGGAATTTAAATCAATAAAATTGTAAAATAAAGAAAAAAAATTGATTACCAACTTGACAGAGTCTTCTGTGAACAGCATTTGGATTGTTGCACTTGCTTCATGGATCGGTAGAGTGATGTAGGGATGGCAACGGGGCGGGGCGGGTACGGGTTTCATGATACCCGTCCCCG